GAAGATGTGGAGAAATTAGAGCTCTCCTACGTCGCTGGTGGGAATGTGCAATGGTGCAGCTGCCCATAGAAAGCCCTTTGGCAGGTCATTGGTACATGAGGCGTAGAGTCACCATATGACCCAGAATTCTACCCCTGGGGTACATAACAAAAGGATCAAAAACAGGTGTTCCAAAAACAAACAAACAAAACAAAACAAAACAAAACAAAAACCCTTGTACGTGAATGTTCATAGCAGCACCATTCGCAGTAACACAGAATAGATGGAAAGAACGCAAATGCCTTCAGCAGATGAATGGATAGTGTGGTCTCTCTGTATGGCAGAATATTATTCAGCCATAAAAAGGAACGAAGTTCTCACACCTGCTATGATGTGGGTGAATCTTGAAAACTGTGCTAAGTGAAAGAAACCAGACATGAAAGGACAAACACTGTACGGTTCTACTTTTTTTTTTTAAAGATTTTATTTATTTATTTGATAGAGAGAGATCACAAGTAGGCAGAGAGGCAGGCAGAGAGAGAGGGAGAAGCAGGCTCCCCGCTGAGCAGAGAGTCTGATGCGGGGCTTGATCCCAGGACCCTGGGATCATGACCTGAGCCGAAGGCAGAGGATTTAACCCACTGAGCCACCCAGGAGCCCCAAGTATGGTTTTACTTTTATGAAATATCCAGGATAGGGAAAGCTACAGAGACAGAAAGCAGGTTCGTGGTGGCCAGAGGCTAGGATGGTGGAATGGGGAGTGACAGCTTAATGGGAATGGGGTTTCCATTAGGGTGATGAAAAAGTTCTGGAACTAGACCACTCTATGCCCCTATTTAGGGTTCAGAAACACAGGCTCCCCCAAAAGAGCCTGCTGCTGCCCTTCCTCCCTCATCTACCCTTGGGCTCCTGGGGTCCTGGCTCAAAGAATTCTCTTTAGGCTTCTTCCCTCTGAGGCTCTTCCTGGGACCTGGTTCACTGAAAGCTTTTGGGTGTCTTTCCAAAGGCTGCTTCCCCAGATCCTCCCACCCTCATCCCCATTTCGTCCCCCCGCCCCCCCACTCCCACGACCCTGGAGCTGCTCTTCTCTCTGGCTGGCTGTAGGGGGCGCTCTGCACAATGCCCAGGAAGGCGCCATCTCACAAGTGGCAAGTGGCTGAGGATGGTTTTTTGATCCAAGACTCTGGCCCGGCCCACCCCCATCTCCAGATTCCATCCCTTTCCTGGAGGGCCTCCCCCTGTATCTGCAGCTTCTGCTCCTTTCCCTGCTGCTCCTCTAGCCATGGCCTGGGCTCTCAGCCTCACTGTCCCAGGCAGACCAGGGGCGATGTCTCCACCTTCTGTGTGGGGACCTAGGGGGGCACCTGGAGCATTTGTCTTTGTCCACTCAGGGCAGCAAGGACAGCTGACTTCACACAGCAGGACTTAGCCCAGTGTGGCTGCTCAAGAAGGGTGGAGAGGTGGCCCAGCTTACTGGCCCCCTCACTGGCCTCACTTCCTGGCCCGGGGCTGTCCTAGATGCACGTTCTAGAAATGGTACAGACACTGAGAAGGGACTGGGTCACCCTCTGCTCCCTCCCCAACTGCCCCAGCAATGGAGGTGAGAGGCAGGAGCCCCTGTGGGTCTGCCTCCTCGTCTTCCCCCACCCTAGCTGGGTGCCCGCCTCACTCTCCCAGTCTCCTCACAGTACACTGAGTACATGGCCCTCACCCCTACTTCTGTCCCCACCTGCCTTGGCCCAGTGGGCAATGAGGCCAGGCAGCACACATCTGTCCAGGACCCCTCAGAGGGGCAGATGGGAGTGGGTGGCAGTCTGGGGGCTGAAGGTGGTCTCTGAAGTTATCCCCAGATGATGATCTCATTGATGTTTCCAACACACGTAGAACTTTGAAAAATATACATGGTGCGGGCCTGTCTTTAGCCCGAGCCTGACCAGCTGGTTCTGCAGAGGCTGGCGGGCTGTACAAGGAAGGGACAGGAGGCAATGCTCTGGCATGAAACAGTGACAGGGCTGGGACACCTGGAGGCAGGGCCAGGCTCAGGAGTGGGCTCCCTGACACCCCCCACTTTGTAGGGGCCAACTTCTACATCTAGCTTTCTGTCTGCATGCTGTTTGCCCACAAGCTAGGGAAACTGAGGAGTTTCTCTAGGGAGGGTATTGGAGGGAGCAGCAGGGCATGGAAGGTCAAAGAACTCCTGCTGCATAGGGTTGAACACATAGAGGCTGGATGAGGCCAGCCTGGGCTCACACCCAGCCATGCCACCGCTGGGTGCCCTGGGGCAGGCCTTGTACCCTCTCTGTGCCTCCCTTTCCCCACCTGTTTAGTGGGGATAACGGCCCCTGCCTCACAGGGTGGTATGAAGAGCAGGCGAGGCACTTGGCTGTGCCTGGTGCTTAGTAAGCACTCAGCCCTGAAGGGTGTTGCTGGTGTCGAAACACAGAGACCAGCTCCCATTCGTCTTCGGGCGGGCAGTTGAGTTTGAAGTCGGGGCGGTCCATGAGATGATCCTGAGAGACCCTTGAGCTGGAGGCTGGTGACCCCCTTGCCTGGACTGAGCAGAGCCTGGGTGGGTGCAGGGGGACCCACAGAAGCTTCTGGTGGCCTGTTTGCCATTAAGTATCCATTTAAGGAGTGGAAGGGTGGAGGGTGTTGGGAAGGTAGGGCGTGCGTGCCGGGAATCAGGATGGACCTACAGAACCCTCACCGCTCCCACCCAGCTGAGCTCAGCAACTGGACGCTGGCCGTGCCATCTTTGGGCTGGTCCCATCTTCACCTGGGACTCGTCCCCAACCAGATGATCCGAAGCCCTGAGGCTTCCTGCTGCCCCCTCCCCCCAGAGCTGCGTTATCTGTCCCAGCCTCCTGAAACCCAAACCTGGGGACTGCAGCCCACTGAGGGCCGGAAAGAGCCCTGGACCTTTGATCTCAGAGGGATCACCAGGCCTCAGTTTCTTTGGCTGTAAAATGGGGTGTTCCCTGCTCCCTGAGTCACTTGAAGACTAGATAACACATGTTATAAAGGATTTTGCTGATTGCAAAGCAGTTTACCAATGCCCACAATTAAGTATTAACATCTGGATTCTAAAACCTCCCTTCCTCCCTAGCATGTTTTTCCCACATCTGACTCCCTCCCCAGTCCTGTCCCAGGGCATCTGACTCAGTAGGGACAGGAGGACTGAGGAGGCCTGGAGGGGAAACTGAGGACCCCAGGGTAGGGGCCATGTTGTCCCACTCAAAGGTGAAGGGGCCCGAACTGGAAAACCAAAACCCCACAGGGCGGTTTTTCCTCCACGGGGGGTCTGTGCCCATGAAGGAGGGTCCCAGGGAGAAATGGACTCGGGTGCAGCCTCTGGGTGCGGCGTGAAGAAGATCTCTCGTGTGTCTGTCCGTTCATCACACCCCAACTCACCCCCAAGGGACTTCTTCCCACCCAGCCCACCAGCTGAACCTCAGGGCACAGTGACCCTCAGAAACCCCATCTGGGGGCCTGTCTTCACCCTGGTCTCCAAGCCAGGGGCTGTGGAAGGGTTAAACTCTGGGCACCTGCCCGTGGCAGAGGAGATACAGTTCTTTGGGGCCCGGATGTTCCTGAAGCAGCCCCTCCTCCCTTTAGTCTCCAAATGGGGGGTGTCCTGAAGCCCCTGGCCAGGGCCCCCCCCCCCCGAGCAGCTTCTCTGATGACTGTCAGCCTCGTCTTGGAGTTGTCCTCTGATGTGGCCTTCTGGAGCTGGTGGCTTTGCCCTTGGCTGCTGGCCCTCGTCTTGGGGGTGCCGCTCATCTCTGCCCCTTGTGCTGGGCCAGGCAGGGCTGAGTGCACAGCAGGTGCATGGAGGGGGCCTAGCAGCTAAAGCAACCTGGAGGCACCAGCAGGAAAGGGGGTGGTGCCCCAGCTCGGGTCCCTGGGACCTCTTGTCCAGGCAACCTCCTTCCAATGCTCCTCCATCCTTGGGGAGCCCCGTCCCCACAGCGCAACTCGTGCAAGGAAAGCCTTGCTTTCTCACTTCTTCACTGAGTGAAAGGCAGAGTTGGGAAAGACACCTCGATCGTGGGCACTTCTTGTCCCTCTTGTTCCATAAATCTTTCTCTGGGACTATTCTCTCGCCTACCCCCCCGCCCCCCTTGTTCAGGAGGCTGTCAGCCTATCTCTGTCCTGGTGCCTCTGGTCCCCTCCCCGCATCCCCGGTCTGGAGACCCAGGAGCGAGAGCCAGGCTGCCCTATCCCTGGGTGCCAGGATGGAGTTTCTGTGTCCCAGCCCCTCTGTTGCCCTGGGAGCTGGTACAGGCTGTCTTCCACCACACGCTGCTGTGCCCGGGCCTTCTCTCCTGGTCTCATGGCTCATGTGGCTGGGGGAAGTGCAAGGGGATTACCCCCCCCCCCCCCGCCCCCCCAGCCGCCTTCCTCCCTTGTGGTCCCTGGGGTGGGCTTAAGGGCGGGGTGTGCCCTATTCCGGCTCTTCAAGCTTCTGCTGCAGGACTACGCTCCGGCTGCCTCTAGGGGGGGCTGTGGAGGTGGGCATCCCCCACTTCCGCTGCCTCCCTTTCCTGGCCTCATGCCCCCACTCTCTTCCTGGGCTCCCTTTCCCCTAATTGGTTCTGGAAACCTTGTTTCTGAGTCTGTTTCTGAGAGTCTCAAGCCGAGACAGTGTCAAGGCCTCCCCAGCTGTACTTCTGGCTTCCAGCTCCGCCCCTCCCTTGGGGCTGGGACACATTCCTGTCTGGTCCCATGGCCACACCTGGGTTCAAGCTGTCCCTGTGGCCCCTGCCCCATCCACAGTGTCCTTGGCTGGCACTGTTCACCTGTGGCTCCCTCTCCATGACTTTCCCCTTCTAAGAGCTGTCCTTGGAAGCTGAGCCTGCAGACCCATGCCCCCAGTGTCTCACCTTGCCCCCCATCCTGAGGGGTGGGAGTGGTATCAGGTTTCCCAGCCACATCCTGGTCCCAAAGACTGAAAACTGGCTTCCCTTTCTCTGCTGCGCCCTCCCCACCCAGCCCTGTGCAGACCAGACATTCACAAATGCTGGTTGGAAAGATAAATATTATTATTTACAACAGCCACCCCTCAGAGCTGATGCTGTTATCTCTGAAAGCCTGGCTCCAGTGACCCAGTACCTCTGGCTATGGGAGGGTCCAGTGGGGGCTAGCTGGTTGTCCCACGAGCCAGCTGTCCAGCTCTAGGACCCTCAGGCAGAGAGGAGCCAAGTGCCCTGCCCCTTCTCCTATCTCCGCTTAGCTAATCATGCTGCCCCAGAGGCCACCCAGGGGACCCCAAATTCCCTGCGACCAGCACAGAGGCTCCCCTGGAGGCCAGACCCCTGAGGCCAGCAGGCAGGAGGGCCCCGAGTATTTTCTGCCCCCTGAAAGGGACACTGGCTTTGTCTGGGGCACCCCCTATTTCTTGCTCACAGGACACTCCCTCTCCCTCCCACCCTCATCTTCCCACACAGGGGGAGACACCAGGGACAGGAGGAGACAGAAAGCAGGGTGTGAATACTGTGGAGGTAAAGGGGGGTCAGCCTGCTGGCCTGCAGGGCAGTCAAGGTCCAAGGTGCAAGGCAGGGAGACAGGGCGTTTCGGACGACAGTGCCACAGATGAAGTCCGGGTGCTCGGGAGGATTTCCTGCTGTGTGGCCTGTGGTCTGATGATGTCACCTGATTTCTAATGACATTGCCTGGGGCTTCTGGCAACCTGGCTTTGGTTCCAGTTGGTACTGGAAGGCATTGCCAACACCCGGAGGCATCATCATAGTGGTTGGGAGGCTGTCACAAAAGTTTCCCCTAATTCCTCTAGGACAGCGATTGTCGGCCCCCAGCTGCTGAGGACAGGCCCCAGGTCTCTTGTGCTCTGGGAGAAGGCACCTCCTGGAGGGACCCATGTACTGCTCTGGGTTCCCAGCTGGCCATTTTCACTCCATTTTCCTTCCATCTCCAGGGAGGACTGGGGCACGGGGGAGCCAGAGGCCCTGGACCCAGACCAATCCTACAGATGATTTCCCATTCATCCCGGGGCCCAGACTGTGGCTGCTCTCACAGGCCTGGAACTCCCTCTCTGCCGGGGTCGGGGAGGGGGCGTGTCCCCCAGGCTGTCGGTGCCAGAAGCTTCTGGGGATACAGAGTGTGAGAAGGGGCCGGTCCCCTCCACAGGCAGGGCAGCTGGCTGAGCCTGGAGAGCATCTTCCAACCGCTGGCCCTCCAGCTCAGACCGCCGTGGACTGCTTGATGCTGTGGAAGCTGACCCGGGTCGGGGAGGTGGGGATGGACATGGCGCGGGCCACGCGGGCGCGGATCGAGTGCTTGTCCTGCCACCGGCGCCACCTCTTCCGGATGGCGGAGCGGACCTGCGAGGGCGCGGAGCAGAGCACTTTGCGGCAGCCTGGGTCTCAGCACTCCCTTCCCTTCCCTAAGGCCCCCACCAGCAGCGGTACTGGGACAGTGCGCAGGTGTGAGGCGCACAGAGGACAGCGCAGGAGGCGGGGACATTCATCTCGTTAACATTCTCATTTGCATATTTGCATATTGCATGCGCAAGGATGATTTTCTCAAATGTTCTGAGAAGGGATGCCTTCTCCCCATCCACCTAAAGGCGTCAAATGGCCTTTGCCATGAAGAATTCCTCCCTTCAGCACGTATGCCCGCCCTGCCCAAGGGCTCAACCCTTCCTGTTTTCAACCAGCCTTTTCATAGACTCATTGATGAGACTGAAACCCCGGCTTCTGACCCCCACGCCCCACCCCACCCCGTGCCAACTGCCTATGAGAACAAAGGAGTGGGCTTGCCACTACAGGAGCACGTGGACAGGTGTCAGGGACCACCCTGGGGCTCCCAGCAGCCTCCCCGTTAGGGACCTTGGGGCAGGGAGGAGAGAGTGTGGAGGGCAGGAGGAGGCTTCAGACAATCTCAGATCCCGACAGGCCCCCGCCATTCTGGGGCCCCAGTGTCCTTACCTCACTGTTGAGGAAACAGTAGAATACAGACACAAAGAAGCCCTGGAGTGGACCGAGAAGGTGGGTCAAGGGACGGGGACAGGTGTGGCCCCACCTAGCCTCCGAGCCACCCCCTTCGTCTCCACAGCTCCTGCCCCTCCGGGCCCCTGCCTAGAAGAATCCCCACCCAAGGGGGGGGTTCGGGGTACAGCCAGAGCCAGAGTGAGGGGTGAGTGGTGATACCTGGAAGGATTCCAGGAAGGAGTTGAAGTAGATGAAGACGACCCGGGAGACCTCGTCCTCCCCGGGGTTCACGAAGAACAGCATGTACGTGATGCCCAGGAGGGGAAGGAGCACCAGAGTGGCCTTCACAGCCTTCCTGAGGTGGGGGGGGGGGGGGGGGGGGGGGCGGGGGGGCTCCTCCCCGCCGGGGGGGGGGGGGGGGGGGGGGGGGTGGGGAGGCTCAGAGTCACAACCCACCCCAGGAGGAAGGAAGAGGGCTGGACCTGGGGGTGGAGTGCCAGGTCTCCAGTGTCTGAGACGGGGAGCTGGGGTTTTCAGGAGGGGCTGTTGGATCTGCACGGGGAGACCTGGGTCCGAGGCTGGGATCTCTGGAGCCCCCACAGTTAGGGGAGGGAGGTGGGCCGGGTTACCTGTACTGAATGGTCTCAGACGTGGTGGATGCCCGGAGTTTGGTCATAAGAATGCGGACGATGTTGAAAAGGAAGATAAAATTGATCTGTAATTTGAGCACACAGTGGGATGGTATGGGCGTGTGTGTGGACAAGATGCTGGAGGCAGGCGGGGTGGACAGGGCGGGGTCTCATGGTCTCAAGTCTGGTCTGCACGGGAACCCTGTCAGTCCACAGTAGGCACTGCTTGTCCCCCTCTCCTGCCCGCCCCCCTCCACCCAGGGTCTTACCAGCAGGACCAAGATCATGGGGCCCTGGTAGATGTAGTCAGTGTACACCCCCGGCCTTTTGCCAAACCAGCACCTAGAAAGCCAGAGAGGGGAGGTAAGGGGGGAGATCATCTGGGTCCAGGGCAGCAGCATGGGGAAGGGCAGTACTTGGTCAGGACAGGACTAAGGCTGGAAGTCAGGATCTGAGTGCCTCGATTCCAACCCTGGGTGAAGGTCAGGATCCCACCACAATGCCTCAGTTATTCCATCTGCAAAATGGGCAGACAGCACCCTCTATTAGGAGATGAAAGCTGGAAGCAGGCAATGTGGCAGGGAGGGGGGGTGGTGGAAATGACCACTGAGTGGGACAGGCAAGAGTTCAGCACACCACTGCTCCCCTGGGGCCCTGCTGGGGCTCTGGCACGAGCCCTCTCATGGTGCCTGTCACGCAGGCACCTGTCACGTGATGACTGTCATGCAGCGAGCCCCCAGCAGCCAGTGATCTCAGAATCCCTTAAATTGCAGCCCGAATGACCCCCAGGGAGAGATTCCACAGGTTTCACCCGTTCAAGAGGCAGAACTGCTTCTCATTTTCTTGAGTTTCCCTCCAACAATCTCTTGGGGGATCTGGGGAGTGGGTGGAGGTGAGGCACAGGGGAAGTCCCATGTCCTTGATCAGAGACGATGGCCCTCAGGGGATGCAGACCCACAATACCTAGATCTCATGATGCTTCCATAAACCAGAAACTGAGATTTTTATGTGAAACCTCTTTGAAACGAATTCAAGGTTTCAAAAAGCACTATGTAGGCCAAATACAAGCTAGACTCCAGGTGGAATCGTTAACCCCAGGGTCGGTGAGTTAGTTCTTCCTGGGGTCTTACACCTGGATCCCTTCTGCTGCAGTGTCAGCACCTTACCACTAGATGGGGCTCCAGAGCCATCCAGACAGACTTTGTTAAGCCAAGGGTCCTGTTTCCTCCAAAACACACCGGGCAGTTTTTTTGAAACCTGTTCTTCCTGCCTCCCCTGTACTTGCTTGCACACCTGCAGGCACAGGCACAATTGCCCAGGGTTTACGATGCTCCTGTGCCAGGACCCAACATCTCCAGCATGACCTCAAGCCCCCAGGGGTGTCTGGCAGCTGGCCACCCTCCCTTACCCTGTTGGCTGTGCCAAAGGCAGAGAGAGCCAGCCAGGTCAGAGTCAGGAAGCATCAGCCTGGTAAATATGAATATCATTTTCCAGGCTCCTTGTCGAGCTTAGTGAGGTTGTGGCGGCCCCTCCCCTCTATGGGGGTGGGAAGGAATTGACATTGACAGTGGGTTCCTGGTATGAACTCATATTTTCTGCCTTTCTCTCAGTGATTCTCAGTCTTAGCAGCTAAAAATCCCCATACCCAGGACACACTCCAGACCAAATACATCCCCTTCTTTGGAGTTCAAGCCTGGGCATTGGTGCTTTTTAAAGTGTCCTGGGTGATTCTAACGTGAGCCAAAGCTAAGAACCACTACAGCAGAAATCTAATTTTCAGGGGCAACTGGGAATACCTGCGACCAGAGTCACCTCAGGACTTCAGAGCTGGGGGGACTCTGTGAGATCATCAGAATTCATTTCTATTAAATCCATGGAGTCTTTTGTTAAACAAGGCTTAATATTCATAGAAAACATTTCTATGGCCTTTACTATGTGCCAGATACTCTTTTGAAGGCTTATTATTATATGACTTCTGTCATCTCCACAAAAACCCTTTCCAGGAACCAATTTTACTAGGATGCCCATTTTATAGATGAAGAAACTGAGGCACAGCACAGTAGTTAGCCCGAGGTCATAGAACTACTTGATGAAGGGGTCCATGGTTCAGAACCCGGGCCGTGTGACTCCAGACACTGCCCGTAGACCTTATGCTGCTCGTGAAATCCCAAGACAGATCAAGGAGCCTCGACCACAGCACTGCTGGAACCCGCAGATCGAGTCTCGCCCCCAGCACCCTCCCCTGCGTGGATGAAGAAACCACGGCCTGCCAGGGAAGGTGATTTGGCCAAAGGTCCTTGGGGAGCGTCAGGCGGAGCTGGGATGGGAGCCTGGACCTCGGGGCTCAGGGGAGGAGGGGACTTACTTCTCATTGTCATAGTACAGCTTCCCAATGGCCCAGGCCACGATGATGGGGAAAGGCACACCTGGGGAGAGACTGGCTGTCACAAGGCTCATCAATGGGATCTGGGGAGCACGCAAGGCCTGGAGGAACCTCATGTGGTCCAGGGCCTTGAGATGGGCAGGGGTTCCCCTGGGTAGAGCTCGTACTCATGCATCCAACCTGCTGCATGCCACCCCCAAGTAGGGGCACAGGTGTTCACCCCGACCCACACCCTGGACCTGGCCCTGGGCTTGCAGGGCCCCTCGCCAGCTGGCCAGAGTGTGGGTCCTGGGGGGTGGTGGGTAGCCCAGCCTAGGGGGAAGGGGGAAGGGAGGGGGGGGGGGGGGCGGGCTCACCCCAGCCGATGCAGATGAACATCCACTTGCGCAGCCGGTCGGTGGAGTAGGTGAGCACGATGGCCGTGTGCAGGTAGCAGCCCTCCCCGAACATCCAGAAGAAGTTGGTCACGTGGAAGTAATTGTAGGCAGCGGTCACCAACCTGCACCAGCCCTACCACCCCCCACCCCCCCAAGCAGAGATGACACTTAGATGGGGGCGGGGGTGGGGGTGGCAGCAGCAGCACCCCACCCTGGGCCTGGGGCCTCCTCTCCATAGGATGCATGCACCCCGCCCCCCAGGGAACCATCCAGCCTCAAGGCCTGTGCCGCGCCCATTTTCCACCAGACCCTTCCTCTGACCCTGGGGCTGCCCCTCTAGGACACACCACGTTGCTCTGGTGGACCTCGGGGCTCATGGTGAGCTGGACCACAAACCACGTGGCGTTGCGCAGGATGAAGGCGGAGATCAAGTTCCAGTGGATGATGTTCCTCAGGCATCGGATGCTCCTGGGGGTGGGGGGGTGGGGCGGCGGCAGAGTGGGTGATGTGAGCAAGGGAGGGGAGGAGGGCGTGAGGGACAGGCTGCCAGCATCCTTCCAGCCCAGATGGGTGGATGGGGAAAGTGAGGGCAGGGCTCACTGGCTAAGTCACAGCGGGAGGTGGCAGCAGGGGCTCTCCCGATACCCTTCCTACTAGAGCCCTCCCACAGCCCTTCTTACCAGAGCCCCGCACAGACCAAAGCTCTGATGGCAGGGCCTGCCACATAGCTGATGCTCTGGGAACTGGGGGCTTCTTTCTTGCTGGGGATGCCCCTCCTCCCACAGCGCCCCTCATTTCCTGTAGCCCCAGGGTCAGAAAATAAAAAGTTTCCAGCAGGATGCCTCCCTCCCAGCATGCGGGCCTGACACTCAGCTCCGACTCCCACCCCTCTTCCTGGCGCAGCGGGCTGCACCCTTGGCAATAGTTCTGGGCCCAGCCAGGTTCGAACCCAAAGGGCTCCACCTTCCCGGCCTTCTAGATGGGTGCACCCTGGCGCGGGCAGTGTGGCACAGGCAAGCCTGGGCTTCAGCCATCCCCTGTGCCCCTGGCAAGGACTGGGTTCGGGGCGGGGTGGGGGCAGAAGTGGCCCTGCCTGAGGTTCCAAGGGACCTGGGACTTGTTTTTCCGTCACTCCCTCCCACTGAGGTGAGAGGACAGGGCCCCCCCCTTGCCAGCAGCCCCTCACCCAGAGCTGCCCCTTGCATCTTCCTTCTCTACCCAGCTCAAGGCCTGGGGCCAACGCTGAGTCTTTCTCACCTAAGCCGCAGAAAGAGGACAAAGGCCACCAGGAGGGCCACCAGCGAGATGCAGTGGCCCAGGTAGTTGATGATGACAGCAACATGGTAGTGTACCTTGCTCTTCTTCTGGGGTAGGAGAGAGGGACAGGGGTGAGACTCCCACACAGCTGCACCCTGCACCCACGGGACATATGAGGACAGCCCCCTCGGGTGGCTGAGATGGAGTTGACCATACCAGGAGTTATTGCCCTGCCCAAGCCCCAGCTATGTGTTGAGCGTGGCCCTGGGAGCGGGGCCGTCCAATGTGAGACTGTTGTCTGTGTGTCTGTCCCTGAATCCCACACTCTGCCCGCTGCTCCATGCTGTTGGACGAGTGCTGGCTACCTGGGCTCTGCACACCACACAGGGGGCCCCACTCGGTGCGCGCAGCTCCCACACTCACATTTCCGTCCTGCCCAGACACCAGGAGGCCATTCGAGGTCCCTCAGCCTGAACCACCTCTTCACCGGCACGGGCAGACTGGCAGACTGAGGCTACCACTGTGTCCTCCACCCCACAGTGGGGACCAGTGGTCCCCAGTGCCCAGCTTTAGGCAGACAGCAAACCCCCCTCACCCTTTCCTAGGTCCCGAGAGGGTAGGGCCCAGGAAGCCAGAACCGGGCACGCAGTGGGCTCTACAACTGTGCGTGAAGGAAGGCGAAATGGTTGTTGAAAGCAGATGGCTTTGCAAGGGCGGGGGGAGGCCCCCTGTTAGCACCTCCTCCCCTTACCCTTTCAGGGTCTGGAGTGGGGCCAGGCCACGAGGATGCACAGACCCTGGCTAGTGGTAAGAAAAGGGCAAGTTCACGAAGGCTTTGTTCAAACTTTCAGGGACACCAAGGAGCATGTGGCTCTCCGCAGAAGTTCCAGTCAGAATCCATGGACGTCAGAGCTGGTCCTCAGGATGGAGTCCAGCCCCACTCTTCTTCCAGATGAGGAAACTGAGGCCCAAACTCTCTCACGCAAGCACAAAGGACGGACCTCCGCAGCGGGTCACCGAGCCAACCTCTGAGAAGAGGCCAAGCCCTCCCTCCCCCTGCTCTTCCCAGTGCCCACCACACCCCTTCTGAAGGCATGTCCTCACTGAGGAAGCTCTGAGGCCCAGAAGGCTCGGGAAACTCTGTTCTAAGATGCTGATTTTCCTGGCAGAGGCTTTCGGGAACGTGGCAGGAAATCACATCAGCAACTCAGGCTCTGAAGGGTTGAGACCCACTGAGGTGTACATGGAGGCAGACAACAGAGAAAGGCAGACAGAGAAGCAGGAGAGAGAGAGACAGAGACAGAGGGGAAGGGGGGGCAGAAGCTATCTATAGCCACCATGCAGATGGGAAGGGTCTCTGAGTGCCTGCCAGTAGAGGCCAAACCTGAAGGCTCTGGAAGATACGCACACCTGGTCTGTCTGGAGCTGGGACCTAATTTCCTTTCATTAAATTTTCTGCAAATCTATGCTGCGAGGCCTCTGGGTGGTAAGAATTCCTGAGGAGCTAGAACAGCGTGACGCCCCAGCTCGTTCGCTGGCCCAGGTGGGCACGGCCAGCCGGGTGGGCAGGGAACCCCTTCCCCACCATGTGCGGTCAACACCCTCCCCGACCCCTGAGCCCGGGTCATTAGGTTCCAGGTGGGACGAGCGGGTCTATTAAGCACCTACTGCATGTCCGTACTTTTCTTACTCACGACGGCCCTCAGAGACTGTCCTTCTGTCTCTGTTTTTCCAGCTGAAAAGGTTGCATAATCGGCCCAAGCTGCCTGGCCAGCAGTGGCAATCCAGGTCTGCACGACCTCCTAGACCCCCTCCTCCCCTGCCCCCCTCCCACACTGTGGCACATTTCAGGGAGACAAGCGGAGACTGAAAACAGAGGCGCTCCCTCGGGCCAGCGCCCAGGATCCCCGAGGACTGCTGCAGGGCGGGTGGGGGCGAATGAGGGGTTTTCTCCATCCAGGCCGAAAGGGGAGAACGGGGCTGACCCATTCAGGGTGTTGCCTCTCTGTGCCTCCCTCGCCTGCCACATCAGCCTGGTGCAGTCTGAGAGACGGCAGACGGCAGACTGCCCGGGACATGGCAGGGCCACCCCAGGAGATGGCCAGCCACACTCAAGAGACACCTGACACCCTTGGAGCTGGTCAGCAATAGCCTGAAATGGGGTCAATGGCAGCCAGAGAGAAGAGCCAGCAAGATCCTAGGAGCCACCCAGCGACACTCCAAGAGACCCTACGATGCCCGGCGAGACAGCCACTGTTAGCAGCAGAAGCAGCTGGGACAGCTGGAGGACACACGGACACAGCCAGTCCCTGGGAACCTGACCTGCACTGTTCCTGCTTGGCGTGGAGACCGGCTGGTGCTGTGAGGAAGGGGTCACATGTTGGCCCTTGGGCAGAGCCACTCCGTCCCACTCTCAGTGACCAGGATCCAGGAAGGAATTCGTGCCCAGCCAACTTCGACCGGACGCTGCAGGACACACCTTATCCCAAGTGGCGGCTGTGTCAGACCCATCCTGATGCCTTTGCAGAATGACTCTCTGAGTGCTCGCTACTGCCTCCCCCTGCTCCCACCAGGGCCATCCCACTCTGGGGCTCCCTCTCACCAGCAGGTTTCCAGAGCTACTCCCTCACCCCACCCGTGGGCACTCCTGCAACTTCCTCTTCCTGATGTGGTCCCCAGCGTCACTCACCCGGGAGCTTGCAGGAATCTGAAGCCCTGCCCCAGACCCTGAGTCTGAATCTTCATTTTAGCCAGAAGCCCCAATGATGCTTAAGCGTTTCAGAAGCTCTGCTCCAAACAACACGCTGTGAGCAGTGAACCCCAGCCCAGAAGCCTACACCCCTGAAACCGTTCCATATGCGTCAAGGTGTGTGCCCTCCCCGGATGTGCCTGGGCTCCCCAGCTCAGCAGGGTGTAGGGGAGGGAAGCAGAGCAGGTGTAAGTGGCAGGAGAGGTGGGGGTGAGTCTGGGCTTGGGTGGGGGGGGTAGATGTCACTGCAGTGAAGGGAGACAGTGTCTCGGGGGGCTGATATGGAGAGTGGGGGCCAGTGTAGGGTAGTACTGGGTGTGGGGGGGGTCAGTGCCATTCCTGGGGTTGGGTCATCAACGAGTCAAGCTTCTCAGGTGGGGGCTTGTCCCCTGGTGGTGGTGGCTGTAGGCAGTCTTCTCCCTGGCCTGGCCTCTGGGCGCCCTCACAAATCCATTATCTGCGATCCCTTGGGGCACTGCTGCTTAATTAGGGCTTAGCCCGCCCTGAGCTGACAAACTGGCTGCTTCCTTAATTGGCTACTTTTCTCTTCCTCTTCTCAGTAGCTCCGGAGTGGATCGGGAGCCTTGAGAGTGGGGAGGGGTCTGGCAAGGCTAGAGGCTGGCAGAAGGGAATGGCATTTTCAGTAATTAAATTAATTGATTACCCAGAGTGCCAGGCAAGCAGACTGGCAGGGGCTGCCCGGGAAAGGGGTAGGTGGCAGCCCCCACCAAGTTGTAACCAGAGGAACATCAGAGAACACCAGAGTGCACCCAGAGAACACCACAGAACACCCCCCACCCGGGTGTACCCGACAACCTCCCCGGACCCCAGGTGAGGGGAGAGGCAGAGGGATGGCGGATGGATGGAGAGCCCTCCCCAGACCAAGACGCAAGCAGACGTGACCCTCTCTCTCCTGGAGGCAGACTCTGTTGCTCTGGGCCCTGTTACAGATGAAGCTGGGCCTGGTGGGGGTAAATTGCCCGCGCAGGGTCACACAGTATGTGTGCTGGAACCAGAATCCAGCAAACCACCCATGTTCCTAGCCCGTGCTGTTCCTGTTACTCTGCCAAAGAAGGGACTGCCGAGACGCTGGCGTCGTCCCCCGTCTTCCTTCTCCCCCTCACCCCGCTGGTAGAGAGAGGGCGACACCTCTGTCGTGGCAGAAGGAGTGGGAGCTTCAGGGTGGTGTCCTCCGTCAGCCAACTAGGAGGATGGACTTAAATTAGAGCAGGAGGGATTCGGGTGAACCGTGAACTTCCCCTGACATTCAGGGGGCTCCAATGCAGGGGAAAGGCAGGGAGCAGCTGTGGTTCTCAAGCTTTGCTCCTGTTACAGAAGGCAACAGACAACTGCTCCCTGGTGGTGGGTGGGGGTTGGGGGAGATGGTGATTTGTTTTAAGCTAGGAGGCTGGCGAGCTGACCTGTAGTTGGAGATACATCATTGCCTCAGGTTCTGCAGTCCCCGCAGGACAGAGTAGGGTGCAGTGGGGGGGGGGGTTGAAGACTTCTCGCCTTGGCGATGCGCCCCCCCCACGCCCCTGCCACCACCCTTTCCCTATGGGCGTGACCTGTGGTCTAAAATTTGTCTGCAGCACTGCCTTCCCTTTCTGCACATGAGCCACATCTCCTGTGTGCCGGGTAAGGAGTTCCTCACCGGCTGAGTGGTCTTCTTGTCCACCCCTGCCCCAGATCTTCTGGCCCAACTATGTTTCCTGACCCCACTTCCTTCCCCCAGTCCCTCCCAGCGGTGGGGATGCCTCAGGTGCAACCCTAGGACTTCCCAGGCTGGCCCACCGTGTGGGTGCTTAGCCCCCTGCTCAGGTCTGGGGGGGGCCCGGGCCAACCCACCGTGGCCTGTGGGGGACCATGAAGCTGGCCTGTGAGTGGAGATGCCAGCAAAACTCTCTCCGGCATCTTTAGGAACTCATGCTCCCAAAACAGACCATCAAAGCACGTGTCATTCTTCTAGGCTAAACTGTGCCCTGAGCCTGCAGCTTCAGGAAGGAGACAGCGGGGTCCCGATGGCTCAGTGACAAGAAGCCAGGCAGCCTGGGGAAGGGGGTCACCCAAGCACCCAGGGCCAGGTGGGGAGCAAGGGGAGGAAAGCTGCTCCTCTTCCATCAGCTTGACCTCGCACAGAGCACCTGGTGGGGGGCAGAGGCGAGCCTGGACCTCAAGGCCCGGGTTCCAGGCTCTGACTCGTTTTGGCTGTGTAACCTTGTGGGAACCATTCCCCCTTTCCGGGCCATTCACCCTACAAGGTGAATGGGTTGCGCTCGGTTGGAGTTATTCACCGCCCCCCCCCCCATCAGAAGGTTCCCTGGGGCTCTTGTTAAAAAACAGATTCCCGGGGCTCCTGGGTGGCTCAGTGGTTAAAGCCTCTACCTTCGGCTCAGGTCAGGATCTCAGGGTCCTGGGATCGAGCCCCGCAGCCCCGCATCGGGATCTCTGCTCAGCAGGGAGCCCGCTTCCCCCTCTGCCTACTTGTGATTTCTGTCTGTCAAATAAATAAATAAAATCTTAAAAACAACAACAACAACAACAACAACAAAACAGATTTCCAGGTCCTCCTTGCAGAATTTGACTCATGGGTGTTGAAGATAGTCCTGGGGCCTGTCTTTGAACAAGCGCTCTGGGTGGCTCTTCCTACCAGGCAGGTTAAGAGGGGATAGGGGGTCTCCAAGGTCCTTTCCAGTTTAGATCTGGAATTCTCAGGAAGGTGTGGATCCGCCCCCTTCCTCCAAGACCCACATGCCCGGAGCCCTCAGACAGCTTGGGGTGTCCTCCCGTCTCTCCTCTGCCTTCTGCTCATTCATTTCTCCAGCTCCACGACCCTCTCCTTCCTCAGCACCCACTGAAAGGGTGTGTGGAGATGGAGGGGAGGGGGCACAGGGGATGGGGTCAGCTGCAACACTAGATATACTCGGGTCCCTGCCAAACGCCACCCTTAAGAGAGTATTCATTGCGGGGCCGTTGGTAATAACCAGACTGAGAATAAAGATTGGTTAAATGAATGATGGCACGTCTGCCCAATGTGGTATTATGAAAATGTAAAAAAGAATGAAGATGTTCTTTAGGTACCGATCTGGAACCATCTCCAAGATGGATGATCATATGCAGAAAGCAAGGTGTCAGACGGTGTGGAGAACAAGCAACATTTGGATAAAAAGAAAAAAGAACACCTATATATGTAACTACTCTCCTAGGCAGACAAGGTGTTTGGAAGAGCACCCAGGAAACTGGCCTTGCCCCTGGGGAGGGAACCTAGTGGCCAGGGCAGGGCGGGAAGGACCCTTCTCTGTGTTCCCATTTGTACCTTTTTAGTTTTTTATTATGTGTAAGCACCACCTTCTCAAAAACATTTAAATATTTCAAAGGCTCTCCCAGGGCTTTTTCCCTCTGCTCCCCGCCCCCCACCCCACCGGGCCGCCGTCTTGGAGTCTGACACACAGCGCCCCCTGGCGGGACCCTGACGTACTGCGCAGGTGGGTGGTGTGCGGAGAAGGGACGAAATTCGGTCCCAGGGAATGCAGATGGAAGGAGGGAAGGAGCAAGGACCCAGGTGATCTGTGTCAGAGCCAGCTGCTGCCCTCTTGGCTCAAACTCCCTTGGGGATGGCTGCTCTCAGCCATGATGCCGGGCGCCTGTGCATCGGACCCAGACCTGAGCTGGGGCCTGACCCACCGTCCACACGGGCAGCCTCACCTCCCCACTGAGGATCTCCTGGCACTCGGAGTAGTTCACGCGGGCGGCCCAGCTGCCATTGGCCAGGCACTCCCTGTAGCCGTTGTCTGGAAGAAGGAGAGAGAGTCAGAGTCACCCATGGGCTCCTCTCCCAAAGAGCAACCCAGGCATCCGTCTGCCCATCAGTCCGTCCATCTACCCACCCATCTGGGTGAACACAGGGGCCTCCTGGCTGGGTGAGGGACACTGGGGTTGACGCTGAGGAGAGGGTCTTCCCCACTACCCCCAATTTCTTGCCTCTTTCTGCTCACTGGCCCCAGTAGGGCTGCCCATGGGCTGTGGCTCTGCCTCCCCAGGCTGCCATGATCGCATTCCTGAGACGGGCCCATGGGCAGGCTTGACTAGCTAGCTGGGGCTGTTTCCTTGCAAGGCCTTATGTGGCCGCAGATTACGTGGTGGGTGCCCTTCGGAGAAACGTCCTGCCTTGGCTTCTCCCTTGGTAGCAAAAAGGATGGTGAGAGCTGATGAGTCAGTTCTCCCTCACGAGGCTGGGCACGCTCTTGGTGGAAGGGTACGCAGTGACAGCTTGGGTGGCACACTGAAATGACGTTTTTCTACGGTGACTACCCATGGAGAGGTTTCCCATGGGGGGGTCCTCACGTGGCAGTGTTTCCCATGGGGTGGAGCTCACAGCGCAGGTGTTGGGGAAGGTGCTGGTGGCATTTCTCTAACAGCCGGATTTAGGTTGGGGGGTGATATGGTGGGTGCATCCATGGTGGAAGTCTCTTAGGACAGAACAGGACAGGTGGCAAGAGTGGACTGGGGGATGGCACGGGGGTGGGTCTCACGAGATCCACTACAACCAGCTCCCAGCCTAGCACAGGGCGTTTGGGGAAAAAGACCGGAGGACGGCCCAGGGAGGCGTGGGGGCCCATGCAGCCACCAGACTGGACTGGGGCCCGGAACCTGTCACCTTTTAAGGAGATAGGGAGGAGCCCTGCGATCTGAGATTAGGCCTGGCTTCATGGCTCTTGGTGGCTGGAGCTGTACAATGATTTCCTTCTATCCTCCCTCCTGCCTGCACCCCTGGCAGGCACCAGGGCCCTAAAATCCAGTAGGGAAGGGGCCAAGGAAGATCCAAATCTTGAGTCTTTTCTTCTTTGAGGAGGGAGGTCGCCGTCCCTTACCCTGTACCCTTAGGCATTGGTGGCTTTAAATATGTTTCCTAGAGTGAACTCTGGCCCCGAGTCCAGGCAGCACTGGCTAGAAGAGCAATCGATCTTGAACCAGTCCTGCTACAGGCCCTTCCAAGGCTCACACTGACCCTCACGCCACCTCCCCACCCCGGCAGGGCTCCAGGATGGCTGGGGAAGCTGCCTGAGTCCCAGTCTCTGAGCCCGGAGCCCAGCAGGGGCAGAGTACCACATGGGAGACAGAGTGGGACGCCCTAGGCCTGGCTCAGGGCTGTTGGGCCACAAGAGTGAGCTCAGCCAGCCAGCCTCCCGAGCCGCTAGGCCCCCTCTTGTCATCTGTAAAGGGAAGGGCTTGGGCAGCTGATCCCCCAGTGGGCACTCCAGCCCAGACCTGCCTCTCGGCTGGCAACAGCAGGACAAGAGGGAGATGATGGCGTGGTGGATGGTCAGGGGGAGATGCTGCTGCCTCCGGGAAAGACGGAGCCATGGTCTGACCCCGAGGACCACAAGGCGGCGGCCTCTCTAAGGTACTCCTGGCCACACTGCTGAAAGACTGCTCAGGCCACAGCGTGCCAGTGGGAACATGAGGCTAAATGCATTTTTAAAGTTCTGCTCAGCTTCCCTTCCCAGCAGAGTTGAGCCCTTGGGCAGAGTTGGCAGAGGAGCTGCTGATTCTCTCCTAATTGCTAAATGAGGGATAAGCTACCAGAGGGCCAGTGACTGGGATTTCAGGAAGGTCTGGGAGGAGGCAAGGAACCAGGGGAATCCAGTGTGTCTGCCGTGGACGGGACGTGCCTGGGACCCAAGGCCACTCTGGAATGTCTGCAAAGAAAGGGGCTTTGGGCAGAGATCTTGTTGGAAGAGGCATGGCGGGGGTGGGGTAGGAAGAGGGGGATGGTCTTGCTTTAAGAGAGGCAGCACCAAGTAGAGTGAAGAGCATGGCCCTCAACTCAGGCATCCCGGGTTCAAATCCTGGCGCCACTCCTTCCTAACCGTGTGACCTTGGGCAAGTCACACAACCTCTCAGCTTCCTTATCCGCAAGACAAGAATAAGCTTCACAACATCTCCTGCCTCAGAGGCTGAGTGGGCATATTTAGTTCACATGTGCAGAGTGCTTGGAGCTCTACCTGGCCTGCGGCGTGCTCTATTATTTTCATTATTATTGTCTTTGAACTCTTTCTTATATAACCTTATCTAAGATTTGGGACATGTTACGTATCCCTATCAAAGCGGGTACTGGTAGAGGCTGCAGGAGATGCCCCCTTGGTTCAAGCTCCCCTTTCGTGTCCCCCTGTGGGGCGGGAGCCTGGATCCCCTCCAGGGGGCCCTGCTCCGGAGGGAGCAGACTTCGGTGGGAAGGGAGGAGGTGGGTGATCCGGAAAGAAAAGTAGACCCCCCCCGGCCCCGCCCCCCTCCCCCCGCCCCCCGCGACAAATCGTTGCCAGGGAGGATGCGACCTCCTTGTCTTTAATTGCTGAGCTGAGCAGTCCTCCTGGAGAGTCTCGGGAAAATGGATATTTTTGGAAAAGCTTCCCATCCCTTTGAAGATCAGATGTAGCAGGAGGGAGGGCGTTAAGGAGAAGGTCTGGAAGTCCTGGCAATGCCTCATCAGTAAATTAATTAATTAGTGCCTAATGATTAGGTACAATTCTGGGCTCCCAGGCACCACTGATTACATGGGTGTGTCCCTCACTTTCTGGCACTGGGGGCACCTGCGAAGGGAGAGTCCTCCAGACCTGGCTTCATGTCCAAGGAGCATCACCCCCAGCACCCCAGGGGCAGAGAGCTCCTCACCTAAACCTCCCACCCATTCTGCAGGTGGAGAAACTGAGGCCTGGAGAAGGCAGTGCAGAGGGTTCCTAAGCCAGTTCCAGGTGGAGCCAGGGCTAGAACCCCGGACTCCCAGCTTGCCCTTAAGGCAGTGGCTAATCAGCAGCTCGTACCCAGGCACTGACATCTTCCTTGGGGTCATGTCAAGTCACCCTTAGAGACAAGAGTGGAGTGAGCTCATGCGGAGAGGCAGGGCTGTAGCCATAGAAAGCCTGGCCAGCTCCACTCAGCAGTGTGGACTTGACCATGGAGGCAATCGGGAGTCACAGACGGGTTGATGGGAAACCAGAGTCAGAGAGCCGGTGCCTTGGACTGGGGCAGTGGCTCTGGGGATGGAGGGAAAGTCCTTCTGGGAGCAGCCTTGTGGCACCCTGCCAGCCACCAGCCCCTGGGAGCCCTGCATGGACTGGGCACACAGCACCAGGAGTGGAGCCGTGGCCCTGTGACCCTGTGACCTTGGGCAGCTGTCAGCCTCTGCCTCCATTTCCTAACTGTAAAACGGGTCCTACTATATTGGAGGCTCGTGGGTGGCACACGCCAAGCTCTCTTCTTAGGTCCTTCTGCCTTTCCCCCTACCTGCACTTCCTCCCCACCCCCTCCTCGCAGGTCCAAGAACTGGTTGCAGACATAGGAGCCTGTGTGGTCTGGCTGTTCTAGCTTCCCCTGGCCCTCCTACCCCTCCTGGATTGCAGCCACCCACCCGAACACCCTTAATGTAGCTGGTAAAGGAGAGGGGGCAGGAGGAGGAACGTGGGAGCTCTAGGCTGAAGCCGAGCACTCTGGCTTTCTCATTGTCAGACCAGGGGCCAAAGGGCCATAAGTGGGGGAAAATATGTTAAGGTGACTCGGCAAGTCTCCAAGTGAACCACCTGGGGTCTGGTCACCCTTGGCACCCCTTTGGGACTCAGAGGCCAGGCTCACTGACCCCAAGAACCCACCTAGGTACCCCCCCAGCCCTCCCTCTGACAGAACAGGGCCCCTGGCCTGCAGCTGCTGCTCTCTTCATAAGCAGGAGATGTGAGTCATTGACAGGGGAGAGCAAATTAATTCTGAAGGTGACAGGTGGTGTGACAAGGAGCTGCAAAGCCTGAAGGTGGAGGCTCAGGAGGCCCAGGGTCTCGGGGTAGCAAGGTGTTTATGTGGGGATCAAGTATCCAACAGACCCTGGGCAGTCCTCCCTCGCCCCACCAGCCCCAAGAGCCTGCATGCAAGGCTCAGCCCCCTGCCTGTGGATCTAAAACTGCGTCCCCCACCTCCTGGCTGCAGGGCCCTGGATGGACCTCCTAAACTTTCTGAGTTCCAAGTGGGGGTGATTCTGATGTTTCCTGCTCTAGCTCATAGGGCTGTTCTAGGCTTATCCTGACTAACTCAGTTTGTCAGACAGACTTGCAGGCAAATTTCAGCTTCACCTCCTACCAGCTGGTGACCTTGGGCAAGTTCCCTAACTTCTCGGAGCTTTGGAAACCTCAGTGTGTTATGAGAACTATAGCGTTATGTACAGCATCACTCAGGGGGTATTGTGGGAATCAGCGGTAGAGAGCACAGAGCTGGTCTTGGGTAAACAGTGGTTGTATCCACAAGACGTACTACAGTCCTGTCGTCGTCAGGATTATTTCCCCCACCTCCAACAGGTCCCAAGCTCTCCCCATCCTGTCCCACCTCCCAGCAGAGGGTCCGCCCTTCCATAGGCTTCCTTACTTGTGGTGTTGTAGCGGACACCGTAGAAATAGGCGGGGCAGGGTCGAACCACCAGCTGCCCCGCCGGGCTCCGGGGCCAGCAGGTACCAATGAGGTCCATGGAAGCATTGCACTGCAGTCCTGTGGGCAGAGACAGCTGGTGAGGCAGGGCGAGCTCCCCACTCCAGTAGCCTCCCCACCTCCCCACACACACACACACCAGCTGGGAACAAGATGGGAGCAATGACCCCAGTGTAGAGATGATCTCATCTCAGGCAGAGGAGCCATCAAGGAAAGGAATCTGAATTTGATGCTATGGCACTAGGGAGCCGGCTTGGGTTCCAGAGTAGAGGAGGAACAGAGACAGCTGAAGGTGGTGTTGAAAGCTGAGATCTTGACGAGCATTTAGAGAAAATCCCAGATATACTTCCGGTCCTCCACTCTGTAGCCCGAGGACACTTCTCTCAGTCCCTCATTTGGTAGACATCGGACCTCTAAGACTTCACAGTCTGGAGCAGCCCCAAACAGACCCTGCCAGTCCTCGATCTAGCCCCCTGCACACGTCGATGGAACCAGACCACATCCACTCTGACTCTGTGGTGAGGAAGCGGTTAAATGAAGCTGGCCGAGCTCTTCCCTCGCGTGAAAACCACATTCACTGAACGTGTAGTGTTTGCGTTTGGACTGTGCTGGAGGGAGACAAAAGAGGGAGAAACCACCTAGGGGGAGGGGAAAGGACACTGAACTAACAGTGTGGGACACTCACTTCAGACGGGCTCTGCTACTAATTTGTTGTGTGACCATAGGCACGTCGCTTGCTCTTTAAGCCTTTGTGTCTTTACTTTTTTTTAAGACTTTTATTTATTTATGAGACAGAGAGAGCAGGGGGAGGAGCAGAGGGAGACGGACAAGCAGACTCTGCGTCAAGCACGGAGCCCGATGAAGGGCTCCATCCCAGCACTCTGAGATCATGACCTGAACCCAGGCCAAGAGTCAGACGCTTAACTGACTGAGCCACCCAGGAGATGGACCACCATTTGTGTCTTTATAACAAAAGGAAGAGGTTGGATCTGACCAGAAACTCTTAATCTCAGTCTACTGGAAGCTTTAAGGGTTCACAGAGACTCTGAAGTTAAGTGAAAAAATTGGTGTATATATGCATCTTAATTGGGAAAGGGACCGTGGTTTTCATTAGATTCTCAAAGAGATCTATGACTCCAGAAAGATGTCAAAGTCCAAATATTTTCCAAATATCCAAATATTTTCCCTTAATTGAAGAGCATTTTGGGTTTTTTTTTTAAGGGTCATTTGTTTGTCAGAGAGTGGCGGGGGGCAGGGGAGAGAGCACGAACAGGGGGAGTGGCAGGCAGAGGGAGAAGCAGGCTCCCCTCTGAGCAGGGAGCCTGATGTGGGACTCGATCCCAGGACCCTGGAATCATGACCTGAGCCGAAGGCAGACGTTTAACTGACTGAGCCACCCAGGCATCCAATGAAGAACTCTTTGGAGTGGAGTATGTGCATATGTGTATGTACGCCTGTTTCTTGGGGCAGAATGGAGGCCACAGGAATGCTTCTGGAGGGTGGGGAGGCTTTTAGTCTCCAGGGGGAGATGGGAGGTTGGGCCGAGAATGGCTTTGGCACCTCTTGTGATGCTGCCCCCTCTTTCCCTGCCTTTGGTTGCCCCTCTTCCACAAAAGGCCGGCACACAGTCCTGTTGGGACCCAGTGTGCCCATCCCAATGGGAGAGGGTGAGTAATTCTTGGGACAGGTGCAAGAATGCACAGACAAGCCAGGAGGAGCCACGAACCAATGCAGAGGCCTCCTCTTCAGGGCTGGGCGTCAGCATCGGCCAAGCCCTGGCTGGGGCCCACCTGCCGTCTCCTCCCCATGTTAGCCTGATCTCAGTCTCTCTGGAAACAGCCCAGGGGTAGATGGATGTCCTTCCCCTGCTGGACGCTGGGTGGTGCCCAGCAGTCCGTGTACCCAGTGCTGGTTTTTCTTTCTAATCAAAGCAATCCATAGGATGTTCCTGCAAATCGGGGCTTGGAGCAGAGGCCTTGAGACCAAGAGGTTTGACTGAAAAAGAAAGAAATCTGGGTTGGAGCTTCATGGACACGGGGAGCTGGCGGGCTCTTGGTGCTGTGCCACAGTACAGACTCTGTGAATGGCATCATGGTGTGGTAGGCAGGGGGGTGGGTTGGGCAGGGAGGAAAGCAGCTTGCTTTGTAATCTCTCATGGGTCATGCCACTCGTGCTGAACCACTCGTGCTGAGCCCAGAGGCAGGGGGAAGCTAGAGGTAACTGGCCACAGGGAGGGGAGGATAATATAATGGACCGTGCTCTGGTTTTCAAGGCCCATCGTCATCTATCTCTTCAGAACTCATCCACCCTGCAATGTCATCAGTCCCTTTCTACAGATGAGGAAACTGAGGCACAGGGGTAGTAAGTGACTTGTTCAAAGTCATGGGTCAAGAGTGAAAGAACCAAGAAGTATAGCCAGGTGTTTTTTACTTTAAACAGCGTGCTTTTTCTATTATGCCACATTTTGTGCCAATAAAGGGAGGAGAGAAAGCCCAGGAGGCAGCGGGGAAGGGAGTGACAGTTTTGAGGGCTGTGTGCTAGACATGTGCCAGGTACGTTGCATAGACCTTCTGATCAAATGATATCATTGTACCTTCTCAGACAGCTGCTCATTCATTCATTCACTCACTCATTCATTCACAGTGTCTCCTGAGCTGGGCGCAGAGAATAGCAAACCGAACGTCATGTGTGGCAGCACCTGGAACTTGTCTATCATGCTCTCTCAGTGTAGGAGCTGCCCTCCACCCTCCACCCTTCCTTCCCTCCCCCTCTCTCTCCCACCCTGGACACTTCCCCAGAGCCCCTTTGGCAAAGAACAGAGGGCCAGGCATGGCCGGGCATCAGCCATAGCCAGGATCAGACTAGAGCCAAGGCAGAAACCAATTACTAAGCAGATGGCCCTTCTGACCTCGATGACCATGTAGCAGCCAATGGCTGGAGCCCTGACCCACCCGCAGCTGGTGGGTAGGTATGGGGGGTGGAAGCAGGCGGAACAGACATTATTTGCCTCTCGTTTGGTACGGATTAGGGTTCCTTAGCACCTACTATGGGTCTCACACCACCTGTTGTGGTGAGTGCTAATTCTCTCCAATTTACAGGTAAGGAAACTGAGGCCCGAGCAGTCAATTGTTTATGCAGAATCACACAAACACTAAGAGGTAGAAGTCGGGTTTGACACCTGTCCCGGGCTCTTCCCACGGCACCACAGAAGTCCCCAGCCTGGGCCACTGGCCCTCATAGCATTTGGTTGCACAAGTTTCTAGCCCCTGCTGCTGCAGTGCCTCTCTCTCTCTCTCTCTCTCTCTCTCTCTCTCTCTCTCTCTCCTTTCTACCACCCCCACCCCACAACTCACAGAAGGCTGAGTGGGGCGGAGAGGGTGGGTAGGAAGCAGGGTAATACTAACATAGACGTGACCTTTACATTAAGAGCCCAGAAAATTCTGGACGGAATGAAAGTCTGTGTGTGAGAAGGGAAGAAAGGGAGGGGCAGGCTTTAGAATGAAGGGTAGAAGCCATTAGCAGCATCACTGCCTGCCGGGTGGGCGGGGTCCGGTGGAGGGGCGTGGCCAGAGGCACAGGGCCAATCAGGAGCGGCGGCGAGGCCCGGTCTTGGAGACACCAGCATTAAAGTATGGGGCGAGGACTTGGGGTTGTAGGGAGCGGGCTGAGCAGTAAATGCAGGGTGTTAGAAGAGGAAAGGAGGCTGGAAGAAGAGGGGCAGGAACCCAGAAGTCGAGGGAAGGGAGGAGGCTGCAGAACAGGGCCTCAGGGGCCATACCTGGCGGTGGGCGCTGCCCAGCCGACCTCCCAGCCTGACTGCCTCGAAGGCACCTTCCTGCAAAGTGCCCAGCCCTTCACAGCTCACGCCGGGATTTCAGTTCACTGCGCTGCGGACACGCAGAGCCCGGGTGTCCAAAGGGGAAAGGTGTGTAGGACTTGGGGCAGGGAGAACCAACAATTGCAGAACACTACGCATACCAGGCTGTGTAAAGGGTCCTTCTGGAAACCCAGGCCACTCATTCAATCCATTTAACCACTTGAAGAGAAGAAAAGGGGATGGGAGCAAGTGGAGAAGGAAGGGGAGAGAGGAAATAGAAGGAGACAAAGACACGGAGAGGAAAACAGGGAAAGGCAGACAGAAAGTCAGGAGAAAAAGGTACAGGAAAAAATAACTCTAGAGGTGCTGGGGGTGGGGAGGGCACGGATCTCCTAGTTGGGAAGGGGAGAAGGAAGGTAGGGAAGTCTGGGTGTCCCTCAGCATGGGGGGCTATAAAGACCTAGAGGTCAGGGCTGTTGAACTCTAATTCTTGAGCCAGTGTCCCTCCATTTGTCCCCCTGGCCTAAATGCCCAATCCCTCCTACTCTCCTGGGGGTTATTTTCCCACTTGGATAGCATAGTTGTGGGGTGAGGAGCAGTCTGGACAGGAGTAAACCAGTCTTGCAAAGAGCTAAGCTGATTTACCAGCCAGAAGCAAAAAGCCTGAGCTACTATTACCGTCAACCCCTCCTCACACCAAGCTGTTCCAGGATGCCCCTCCTGGACAATTAAGTCATAGATGAGGAGGAATAATGGCTTTGCTCTTTATTCAACAAGTTTTTACTGACCACCTAAGAAACTTTTTAGGAGTTGGGGACACAGTAATGCATAGGAATACAGTAATGCATAAAATTAGTGCCCTGCCCTTAGTTGAGGGTGGGAGGTAATGGGTGCAGCAGACAGACAGACAGACAGACACAGAGCTGTTAAGCAGTAAGAAATGCTATGAGGAAAAAGCAAGCAGGGTAAGGAGATAAAGAGTTCCAGGACTGCTCTTTCAATTTGGTGCTAACATTAAAACAGAGACCTAAACGGAGTAAGAGAGGGGGCCATGTGCACATCTGGGGGAAGAGTGTTCTAGATAGGGGGAACAGCACATGCAAAGACCCTGAGGCTAGTGTGTACTTGGCATATCTGAGGTTTTGACATTCCTATCACTTGGTGGCTTGCCCCCTCCTTAGTGAGGCGGTTAGGTCCCTTAAGCGTTTTTTTCTGGAGGCAGGGGGGTGGAGCCAAGTGAGCTAAAGTAATGCGTAAGATTGGTCCTGTGGCTTCCTCCATCTCCAAAGGCACACACTTTGATGTTTGTGGGAGCACTGTGGTTAGACTGTCCCAAACCTGTGCCAGTGGAAGGAAGAGGAAAGAGGAACACTGTGGACAGCTCCCTCTTGCCTCTGACAAAACCCCTGCTGAGTCAGGGTCCTTGGGGGGGCCTGTTTTAACAAACCCAATGAGAACCCTTTGAAGGTGGCCTACTTAATGCTTGTGCACAATTGGGCATGGTTTTCTCGCCTCAAGTAGATGACATAATTCCTTTCCCAGCAGGCTCAGTGTCCAAAAGCGCCCAGCAGATCCTTCTGTCGTAGAGAATTTCAGAAGGAAATCAGAATCTGGTTCCGGTCCCCAGTTATTTTGGGTGTCCCATCAGTGGCCTCTGAATGAACCAAAGGAGGTGGGCACCTAGCAGCAGCCCTGCAGTTGCGTGGTTCAGCTTAAGAGAGGAACTCAGCCAAAGCTGCCCATAGGGAGAACAGCCAGGCGGCCCAAGGACAGTCTCTGAAACAGACACGCTTGCCTATTCAGGGGAAGGCACTGTTGGGATGAAGGGGTTGGGGCTCTGCCTGGGACTCCGGCATGGAGAGGGTGGCAGAGGGCAGGCAGAGAGTCCTGCTCTTGTCTCCACCACCTTGTGGCTGAACTGCCTCTTTTATGGCTGGGTAGAATGGAAAGATACCTTTGCGGGTGTGTGACTCATCCGGACAAGTGGGTGGGAGCCTCCTGTCCTGTGGGTTTGTGAGCTTTCCATTTTTGCATTACTGGCACCTAGTAGAGTGTCAGGTGCATAGTAGGTCCTGAAGGAAATTGGGGGCTGTGTGTAAACCCTGTACAGGTGTGGGAAACTGCAGGGGTGAGAGGCCACACCTGGCCCTGGGGACGATGCCTCTCTGGGCAGCCACGTATGTGGTGGCCCATTTAGTTCAAATCTTGGGGCTACTGTGTGTGCTTGGGCAAGTTACTTAACCTCCCTGAGCCTTAGGTTCCTATTCTATAAAATGAGGATAAAAGTACTTCCTGACAATATTGTTATGATGACTGAATGAGATTCAAGTACTTAGAATGGTGTCTGACACACAGTAGGTACTAAATAACTATTAGCTATCATTATTAACATTCATGACCTTAAGACAGGGGGTAGGAACGAATGACCCTGGGTCCTTGTCAATGGTATGAGTTCATTTGCCTCTGATGTCATTAGTCAATAATTCTATTACTTTCTGGCATTGTCATATTAATGCCATGATTTTATGATCTGCCAAGTCTGTGATCTGCCACATGACAGAGCTTTGACCCTGGGGACCCACCCTCTCCCTGCTCCTGGCATGTGAGAGGACCCCCAAAGGCCCCAACTCAGTGCCAGCTACCCCGGCCAGACGTCCAACCATCTGTCCCCGTCCCTCCACCCCACCCTCACCATCTGTCTCTACCAGTGCCCATCAGTCTGGGTAGGTCTTGGCAATGGAAGACAAATAGCTCGTTCTCCAGGGCTCTTGTGCCGGGTGATGGATTGTATGCCATGAAGCCCGCCAGGCTGGGCTGGGCATAGGGTAGGGGCACGGAGTACAAAATCACCGGGGAATGAACGACATTCATCATGGCCTCTTGCCTCCAAGGACAGGTGACACCTGCACGGGCTCACAGACGTCACTCCTCCACACACAACAGCAAGTGGATGGAGGCTGACCAGGCCCCAGTGCATGGGGGACTGCGGGCAGGGCCTTTCATCTCAGACTCAGCCCCTGGACAGGTGTCTTCCCTCCCTGTCTCTCTCCGCTAGAACTCCAGACTCTTGCTCAAGAATTTTCCTATTCCCCATGGCCTGGCTTAGCCAACTTCACAGCCTGCTGTTCCAGGCTCCCAGTAACCTCCCCAGGCTTACTGTTCTTCCCTCCTCACTCTTCCCCTGCCATTCCACCAAACCCACCTGCTGGTCTTGGGTCAGCTCTAGCACTGGCTCTTCGCTGCTGGTTCGTACTCAGAGTCTCTCAGAGACTCACTGTGAAAGTGACTCCTTCAGGAAGCCTTCCTGGATTCATACCCCCGCTGATCTATCCTCCCCGCCACCTCTAGTGTAATGAGCCATTCATGGCAAATGCTTTCCCCTCACTGCAGCTGTATACAGTTCGCACTTTGGAAAGCCTGCTGATGTTACCAGCAATCATACACGGTGCTCATCAGTGGCATGGCTCTCTACAGTCTGTAAAAGATGGCCACAAAACTCAGTCCATTTAGTTGTTACAGATCCTTGTGGCAGGCGCCACCCCTCCCCCAACTTTATAGCTTGGACAAAGTCAGACTCAAGGGGGTCAAAGGCCTGCTCATCCCTGGGGCTGCTAAAGGGGGCCCCTAGGGCAGAAGGACAAGACAGCGCCATGGTGAGCATGGGACCCGGTTGTCCTTCTCCAAATCTGGGGCTTTTCCGCTCCCCCAGGCTCTTCCCACAGTGAAGGCCCAGTAGGCCAGGCAGCAGCTGCCCTGAGGCCCAGGCTCAGAAGCTCATGCCTTCTGCTTCCCTGCGGGCGCCCTGTGGCCCCCTCTCTGTCATCATGCGCCTGGTGCTCGGTTTCCCAGGGCACGTGTTTGTGGGTTTGACTCCGGACCAGATAGTGAGCCCCTCTTTGTCCCCCTCATGCCTTCCGGGGGGCCCAGTCACAACAGTGCTCAATGCACGAGTTGGATTGAATCAAAGAGAGGCCTGAAGAGGAAACCGAGTCACCGAAAGCGAGCCTCCTGAAGACCTTCCAGCGCTGGGCCCTTGGCTGGGCCGCAGCCTTCCCAGGAGCCCTGCTTCAAGTGGCCAGGGCAAGGGTTCAGGGTCCACACCCTGAAAAGTCAGAAAAGACCCGGCCTTGGATGTCACAGGCCTGACTCTCCCATGCCTCAGTTTCCTCACCTGTACAGACACTGAGTCTTAAACTCTCATGAGAAGAAAGATAATTCTACAAAAGGACTTTGCAAATGGCGTGCTTGTACAAGTTAGGAGTAATATTTGTAGTTATGCCATATTTTCTACAGAGCAGGTATAAAGCCAGGCTGCCTCGGCTCCAACCTTGGCTCTGGGACTTACTAGTTTTTTCCTCTGTGCCTTGGTTTCCCTAGGTGTAAATGAAAATTGGGTTACTATCTCTCTAGTACTTCTAAGGGCGCCGGATGTGGAGTTAGCACCGGACGGGTTTCTGGCAGCAGAGGACAGCAGCCCCCCTTCCCCACCATGGAGGCCCGAGTCACAGCCCAGCCCTTGGCTCCATTGGTTCTCACAGCAAGTGCTGGGGTGACTCCCCCATTGCCCGCCCCACGGCTGATGCTGGGACCTCACAGCAGCTCTCCTTCCCACCAACTTCAGGACCCTCCTGAGCACAGTTCTCTACAGAGAGGTGATGAGCTGCATGGGGTTTGGGAAGGGAAATCTCTCTACTCTTCCTTTCTTGGGGCAAGGCTCTGTGTGCAGAGGATGGGGCTGTGGAGACCTGGAATCTTGCATGACAAGGGGAGGGAGACTCACCAGAGACGTTGCTGACCAGGGATAGGCTCTCGCAGTGCTGGTCCTGGAAGGAGGCGGAGATTGGGTTCAGCCCCAGCAGGAGCAGGGCCTGTGGACACAGAGAGGCAAGGGACTTGGTTAGACCATGCGGGGAACTTCCTGCTTCCCCTCGCTTCCTGCTCACCCCAGCTTGCCCTCCCCCTACCCCCATGTCCTCTGTGTCTGGAAGGTCTGGAGCTGCCCTGCTCTAGAAGGGCTTGGAAGGGAAGTGGGTAACAACAGTAGGAGCCTAGATTCCTGGGATGATGGTGAACCTGGTTCCTGAGGGCTGGGTCTTCGTGGAGGCTGCGCCTGAGGAAGGCTGAGGCTGTGCTCAGAGGACTCCCATTCCCACCCAGCTAATCACCAGTCCCTGCAAATTTGGCCTCATCCTTCACAAAGCCTTTTCTATCTGTCACGTGTCTTACTTGTCCCGGGGGCTGAGGTGGCTGTCTGTGTTTCCAGATGAGAAACAGAGGCCCACAGTGCTGAAGGGGTACATGTCTCTGGAAAGATGCCTGCCCTATTCCAAGGAGAACTTTGCCCTATAACTTCCCAGGGGTTCCATGTTACTCTGATTCCAGAATTTCAGCCCACGTGGGAGGAGAGTGACAGGGTCCCCTTCAACTAACACCCTCACACAATCACTGTGTCCCCCTCCCTTGAGGTCACCTTCCACCACACACATACGGATTTAGAGTCCAAAGAGCCCTGGCATCCAGGCCTGGTTTCACTGTGTTGCTGGAGGCAGGTTACTTGACCTCTCTGGACCTTATTTCCTCACTTGGAAACAGTCCTCCCTCCCAGGTTCCCCTGATGCACTATTGTAGGAGTCCTTTGCCGTAGCACAGCATGACCTGCAAGGACAAGCATGGAGCTCAAATTCGCTGACTACCTTCATGGACCGCCCTGTGTTTCAGGTCTACAAAGGGCACTCCACAGGTTTTTATTTAGTCATAGGTCAGAGGCAAGGCAATGGTCTCCCCTGGGATTTGAGGTTCAAGAGGATAAGAAGCATGTGGGGGGGCTGGGGTACGGAGTGGGCATTGTAACGAGCCCCTCCTTCCGTTTGTTGGGGCGTGGGTGCTGATGACCAGCACAGCCTTGTCTGCCTGACCGGGGTCCCAAGGCAGGGAGCCTCACGGGAGGTGGCTCTCCATCTGACCACCCTGCTCCCTGCTCTTTCTTCCGGGGTCTCCTCCCTGACGCCCTCTCCTAGGCCCCCCGGTGATGATATCTCAGCCCCAGTCCATTTCCACACAGTCCGCAAACGTCTCTACAGAACTTCGGAAACAGACAGGTAGATCTAGACACTGTCTTAGCCATTGCCCAGAGGGGAACTAAGATGGGGAGAGACCTAGGGGCTGGTCCCATGGCCAGCAGGTCTCTGTGTTAGAACAGCACACAGCCTTGGTGTACAGCCCTCTGGGAACAGGGCGAGGAAAGCGAGGCACCCACCTTGGGTCCAAATTTTCAAGGGGTGCCAAAAAGACACATAATATTTTAATGCAACATTTTTTAAAACTCTAAATTAATGCAAAAAAATTCCATGATGAACAAAATCTCAAAAACTTCTTAAGAAAGACAGGCTCTGTAATAGTGCTGGGCCTACTGGAGCTTGGAGTAAAAGGAATAATCAGGAATGATATTAGCATATCATTTGTCTTCATTATGAGATTTTGGACACCTTCAAATTTTGTGCTTGAGGAGAATGCCTCACTTGCCTCATGCTAGCCCCAACCCTCCCCTGCTCTCCCCAAACTGGACATCCCCATCCCACCATTCCCGATGTCTATGTCCTCCCCTCACTTGGACTTCTCCCCACTCATCCTTTCCGGTCCTTAGGACCTTCTCCCAGTCCTTAGAAGCAGCCTGACTTGCCCTTTCCCAGAGATGAGCTTTCCTTGCTCACCTGCCAAGGATCTCCTCTCCTACCCTGCTCCTCCCCATCAGTGCCACCCACCTTCCCCAGTAGCTGCCCCTTCTGCTCTACAGGCTCTACTCCCTTCTTTCCCACCTTCTATTCCAAGATGGAATCAAGTGCGCCCCCCTCTGGTCAGAGTCCATCCCACACCCTGCCTCCTGCAAGAAACACCCCCTGACCCAAATGATTCACCCACACGTCCCCTCAGCACACGCCTGAGTCCTTCGTGGGTTTTGTTCTATTCCCTTGCTAGTACACTCCTGTCACATCGTAGGAGTCTTTCTGCTCTGACTGGGCCAAACTCCAGTCTAAGAAACATATCCCCAGCCCTGTATCCCCGCTCTCTGCCCAGCACTCGGGACACTCAGTTAACTCGTTCCTGGGACTTGCAAGTGATTAGAACAAACCCATTCATCTCTCTGGCCCCAAGGAACTTCCAACACTTTATTAATCAGTAATTAAACTTCGCAGTCCCCAGAGAGATGGAGAACTATCTTTACCCTCATTTTCCAAATGAAAACGCAGGAGAGAGAGAGGAGGAAGCCGCTAGACTAGCCAACAGCTCTTGCTAGTTAAGCAGAGTGTGTCCTTGCTGGCAAACCTGCATGGCTCAGCTCACCACAGGGCTCTGTGCTGTGCCCAGAGAGGGACTGCTCTGCTGGGATGGCCAGAGGCCCCTTCTAGAAGGGGGTTAGGAATCCCTGCCCCAGCTGGTCCCCCCACCACTGCCTTTGCCACCTCCCAACACACAGACACACACAGAATGGAAGCGGAGCTCCCAGAGCCAATGGTCACAGACCAACGAAAGAAACCGGAAATGCTCTATTTGAAAATATCAGCCCCCCACCCCCGACATTCCACCATTCTTCTAATCCTGAAACCTGGCTTTGTGCTTTGCGTCTTGGTCTTTCAAATCCCCCTTGAAAGCACATGCGTTCTATCCACACTGAATTACTTATCAATGTCCAGCCGCCAGATGGGGCGGGTGCCCCCTCACCTTTGCCTTTGTGGTTCTTTGCCCCCCCTGCGCCCCCTCCTGGCCCACCCCCTCACCCAGTCAGCCCTGCAGTCCTCAAAAGCCAGTTCTGGAGGCCACCCCCACCCCCGGCCCCGCACCTTGGCAGCAGATCCCCCCAACACTCCAGAGCAAAGTAACACGGTCACGGCGTCAATGGACCCAGGCTCCCATGCACGTGGCCACAGACCCAGGAGCTCACGATGCTCACAGACGGAGCATGAACCCGTCTCAGTACAAAGCACTGCCTCCCCTCAGTTCTGATTACTGGCAAAGACACAGGCCAGAAGATCTTCGCTTCCTGCCTTAATGTCCTAGGGTTTGCAGAGGAGCAGAGGAAATCCAGATTCATCATGAAACCGGACCAAACGCCATGCAAAGGGCAAATGGCAAGCCTGTCTGTCCTGGCTGGCTGCCTGTAACCTTGACCTTGACATCGCACATGTGATGGTTCACAAAGTCATTCTCTATCAACAGGGTTTGCACTGTGCCAAGGAAAATGCTTCTTCAAATTCCTGAACCAACCTCTCCTCTCAGGAAAGCTCAGTTCTATATACAATCAGTATCTGTACCATGTCTTGCTCTGTGGAAGGACTTGCAAAGGCTTCTGGCTTATTCTTGAATCACACTTCCAGGAAAAGTCTGGAATGTTCCTGTATACTTCCTCTCTACCGAACACTTTCCAAGTTATTGTTTGTTTCCTTCTAAGGCTGAGGGTTCTTGATCTGGGTCCACAAACACACAAAAGCCTGTAAGGAAAGCAGCATGTGGTGCATAATGACAACCATTTTCCCCCCGGAGGGCGCAGAGCTTTCTCCACAGCTCAGGGAGCTCTTGCACCCAAAGTAGACGGCCAGAGCTTATGGTGGATGCGGCCACATCAGAGGCCTGGGCCTCCATCACATCGGACATGTCATCCTCTCTCAAAGCAAACCTAAGCTGGTTTGGGCCTAGGAACCACCACTTCCTTGGGCTGCTCCGCTGGCTCCTCCCCGCGGTCATTAACTCCAGCTCCTGGCTCTCCTTTCAGAGCCGTTTCTGACAACCAAGTTTTCAGGACTATGTGAGGTTTACCATTCCCCTCCAGCTGGTAGAGAAGACAAAAACGGCCCTAGGAAGCGGAAGCTGGCAAAGCTGACGCCTCACTTATGTGTGCCAGCCCGTGGCCCCAAGGCCCCAAACAAAGCCTGTGCCTCAGTGACAAATCTCTCCACTCCCCAGAGCCAAACCTTGAGCGCAAAATCTGAGAAGGCCAAGGGTGTGCGGCTGCTCGATTCCAGCATCACAGAAAATGACTGTTCAAGGACCCAGTGGGTCCCTGACACGGATGGCTCTGTGCAAAGCAGATGCGGCAGGTCTCATGCTCCCTATTTTAGAGGGGTTTTAGTTGAGGTGCCCAAGGTCACAGAGCTGTTTTTAGCAGCTGGGTGGGGACTAGGAGCCAGAGGGCAGACTTTCAAGCAGATGGAGGCTGGAAGAAGGGGGATGGCCCAGATCAGGGCAGGCGTGGAAAGAAAGGGTGGACAGAGGGAAGGGAAGGGTGCAGGGGCTCTCAGAGAGGGAGAGTGGGGGTCAGAGTCTGACAGCTGCTCCCTCCCGCCCCCCCCCCCCCCCAGGCCCAGCCCCCTGCAGGCCAGCACGATGGCTGGAATTGAAGCTGCCATCCCGATTCCCAGTGTGACTCTGGCATAAAGGTTAATCACACCCAGAAAATGCTTATTAGAGGCCATAAATAACTACGTTGAAGCTCAGTCCGCTCCTTAAGGCACAAAAGTGCAATTTCCTTTGATGGGATGATTGGGTAATTAACCTTTTAGGGAGGGTCCTTTAAGGGCCACTGGGGAGGGAGGAGAAGGATGGCCTGGAGGCACTGGGGGCTACCTCCGCTCCTCTGAAAGTTCAGGATGAGCAAGGAGAAGGGCCTGCCTTCCTTCCCCTGGCATGACTACCTCTGGTGCCAGGCTTGGGAGAAACTCCCCCCGCCTCCTCCTCCCAGGCCCCAGGAAAATCTCTCTTGGGGGGGGCAGGGTGGAGGGGGTGGGGGAAGGACACAGCCACAGCCACATTCAGCGTAAACCCTCAGCAAGATCCCTCCAGCTACTGCTGAGTTCTGTCTTCTCCTGCCACTGAT